TTTAATCAAAATAATAATATATTAAATATATATTTAAAGTAATTAATACTTTTTAATTTAATTATTATATATATTTAATTAAACTTAAATTTTAATTTTTTATAAGTTATTTAATAGATTTAAATATACTGTTTAAATTATCTTAAAAACATTCAACTATATAGTTAATAATTAAATATTAATTATTATTTTTATTAATATTAGTTTTTTCTACTTTATAATTAATTATATAACTTTTATTTATAATTAAAGTTTATATATTTTTTATTACTAATTATTTAATAGTATTTAATATTATCTAATTAAAGTCTATTTTGTTTTATTCTAAATCTTCAAGATAATAGTTACTAAATCTTTTGAATATATTAATTCAACTTATTAAAAATAAATTTTTGAATAATATAATTGTTATCTAAAATTATATTTTTGTATTTTCTGTTGTAATAGTTTTTAATAATATGATATTTTAGATATATAATATTGTTAAGAAAACTTTTACTATTGTCAAGAAGTTCATAATTAATATTAGAATCATTATATTTAAAATATCTTTCATTTATATAGTCAAGTAAGTTATTTATAATATATTATCAAGTTTTAAAAATTTGTAAATAAAATTATTAAAACAAAATAGATAGTTAAATGAAAATTTAAAATTTGAATGTTAAAACTTTTATTAAATATTATTTAAGAACACTATCTTTTTATTTTTAAATTACAATAATAATTCTTTAAAATATAACAAACACTTGCAATAGATATATTTATAATAAGTTTTAGAATAAATATTAAACCTAATATTATTCTTTCAAATTGTATATAGTACTGAAAAGAATTCTAAAAATATATAATGTATTTTTAAGATTTTAAAATAAATCATTATAAATTGCCTTAACATAAATTTAAAATGTTATATAAACTATTATTTTATAACATTATAATTTAAAGAATAGCATAATATTATTATTTACTAAGCTAATCAACTCTGACAATTTTTTTTTAAATATATACAATTGAATCCAACTTTTAACTCTTTTAAAATGTTATAGAATACAACTTATTGGCCTAAAATAATTTAAATACAATTTATAAATGATTTTTGATATAAATAAATTAAATTCAATGCATTTTAATTATTTGAATATTAAATATTTACAAATTTGACCGAAAACGTTATGTACACCAATCATAAATAGCATATACCTAGTTAACTTTAAGCCCACGATCCTTTTAGACAAGGGTATGTATGTAAGTATGCCTTATTTTTATGTAAAACAGTGTTACAAAGCTTATACTATACCAGCTATACTGCCAGGTTTATTCAAGCCAAAGGTATAATGCAAGAATAAATCTCATTGAAGCACCTTTTTTCATATGAAGATTTCAAAAAATCGTTTTTTAGATTCAATATAAACATGCATCAGGTTACGAGATTTGGGTACTAATTGTTCAAAACGTGACCAAAAGCCAATCAAGAAAAATAAAAATAATCCATAACTCAAAAATCCGCATAAGAAACAAACTTTAGTGCCCTAACGAAAAGTTTTCCTTGAGCAATTTTTTTACTATGTACCTCATTAATATCAAATCCTAATATAAACGTTAACCCTAATATTAGCAAACATTTAAAAATTTTGTTACCGAACTATGCCATAATCCTGACTATCATGTGATCGTCTGGGTTATGGTTACGTATCACATTTACGATGTGCATTTTGAACAAAGTACCCTAGCCATGGCGAAAACGAAGTGTCGGGTCATGTGATTTCCGACGCTCTAAATGATCACCCACCAATCAGAATCCAGGATCTGGTGTAACGTGAAATTTTACGAAAACAATAAAGTTTTTCAAAAATTGCAAATAGCTTAAAATTTTGCTTATTAAATCACATTCTGCGCTCTAATTAAAAAAATTTCTTGCAAAATTTTACTATATGATATGATTCCCTAACCCTAAATATATGGTTTTTTCCTGTTGTCTTCGATTGTTTTGATTTTTAGATACCGGACTGGAGCTTCGGAAATCACATGACCCGACACCTCGTTTTCGCCATGGCTAGGGTACTATTTTGAAAATGCTATTACGTAATCAATTTCTTTAGAATTTTCTATAGCTAATTAATTAAACCATAACTGTATTGGTGTTACTTATAAATGGATTTAATGGGATTTGCTACACATACGTACTTATTCTTTTAAAATGATTTCACAGCTTCCAAATGAATGCCTTTATGAAATATTCAATTATTTCAGTGACCTTAAGAAACATTACAAAAGTTTATTTTCATGTCTTCTTGTAAATCGGAAATGGTGCAGAATTGCTGTACCAATATTATGGAGTAAACCACTTGATTATTTCACAGATGAAAAGATAATAATAATGTATTTTTTATCGTTAAACATTGAGGATCAAAAACGACTTATCCCATTAAACATAAAGCTTCCCAAATTTTCAAAACCATTATTTAATTATATAACTTATACTACTTCTATTGAAGGTTATAATTTATTAATTAGTATCGAAAAGTGGCTTGGTTCTCTCTTATTTTATCCATTTAAGCCATATTCGTATGAATCAGCTTTGTTTCCTTCATATAGTCCATATAATCCAAATATTTCTTATGAATTATTTCATATTGTTAAATTTTCGATGATTAAAATGTTTCTACGAAAATGTAATAGACTTAAAAATTTAAGAATTTATGGAATAATTGATAGTGAGACAATAGAAATCCTTAATTTAAATTCCAATCTAACTTCTTTAAAACTTGATCGAAATAATTTTGATTCAGAAGGAATAAAAGAATTATTGGTGAAAGTTCTCTGTACAAATACGAATTTAACATCTTTAGACATTACTAATAACGTGTTAATTTATGAAGAAGTAAAAACTTTAATAAAAACACTTTGTAGAAACACAATTCTTACTTCCTTGAATCTTACTGGAAATAGTCTTGGATCTGAAGGTGGAAAAACAATAGCAAAAATTCTTTCCAATAATTGCTTTTTGACATCTTTGAATCTTACTAGCAATCAACTTGGTTTTGAAGGTGGAAAGGCATTAGCAAAGCTTCTTTATAATAATTGTACATTAAAATCTTTGAATCTTGCTTGGAATCAACTTGCTTCTGAAGGCGTAAAAGAATTAGCAAAGGCTTTGTACAAGAACAATACTTTGACTTCTTTGGATCTTAGTGGAAACCAACTTGGCCATGAAGGCGCAAAAATATTGACTGAGGTTCTTTATGTAAATAATACCTTAACTTCTTTAAATTTTAGTGGTAATAAGCTTGGTCCTAAAGGAGCAAAATGTTTTGCAGAAGCTCTTTGTAAAAACATTAAATTAACCAATTTGAATCTTGGTTCTAATCAATTTGGCCCTGAAGAAGGAAAAGCATTTGCGGAAACTTTTTACAAAAATAACACTATAACTCATTTCAATATTGCTGGTAACATAATTGGCATTGAAGGTGGAAAGGCAATGGCAGAAGCACTTTGCAAAAATAGCACAATAACTCATTTAAATCTTAATGGTAATGGAATTGGCGTTGAAGGAGGAAAAGCAATGGCAGAAGCCCTTTACAAGAATAACACCTTGACTTTTTTAGATATTAGTTATAATATACTTAATTTTGAAGGAGGAAAGGAATTATTAGATTCTCTTAATAAAAATTCTTCTCTATTAGTTTTAACTCTCAGTGGGAATCAACTAGCCTTTAAAGTAGAAAACAAAAATATTTACAATCCGTTTAACACTTTTCATTGTCATGAACTTTGTTGTAACAAAGATTGTTTAAAAGAAGAACTAGCAAAGGCCGGGAACAGAGTTGTTAATGAAACCCCTTGTCATATGTATGTTATGTTTCCGTTTTATTTTTTTGAAAACTTTAATCATTATACTTCTTTATTTCCGTCTATTAATTGACGTGCGTCATTCTTAAATTAGAAAACTACATTAGTCATTTTTATAATTATAAAGTTTTTAAATTTACGTAAATATTCAAAATACTACAAATATAATTTAAATTTTTTGATTTAACACACAAAACGCATCTATATTATCTTGGCATAAACTTTTTAAAATATATGGTTTAGCTATTTGTTTTTTTAATTATAATTTGCAATATTTTCAAAACCATGAATGGAAATATATTTTTAAGTATTAAATGCCTGTTAGGTCTATCAAAAATGATACTCTTCTGATGGATAGAAATATACGCAAAAAAAAAAACCAGATAGATATCAGATTTATGAACGCCCGATATCTGCTGATATCTCAAAATCCGTCTGTGTTATAGATTAGCCAATACCGAATGCTATGAATTGGCTGTTCTATTGTGGATTAAATATTCTTAAACACATTATCTTAGAAATGTTATAAATTAAAAATTCTTAATACAGTCAGTCGTCTTCCTATCGATCATATATTTCGAAATCAAGATCTAACCCATTTTGGTTGGATAAATCCAAGTCCAGTCCATGATTACTTGCAGTATTTAAAATTCAAAATAAAAATCGCTTGTACAAATACATTTTTTATATATTTTGGCAGCTTTTTTTAAAATTTTACTTGTACACTTATTAATTCTTTAAAAACTAAAAGCTCTTGCACATGTGCATCTTGTGCATGCCAATTTTAAACCCGGACTGCATGGTTACAATCCATGGATCCAAATTGTATAAATTGTAAAAAGCTTATTTATTAAAACAAGCTCGAGTTCGTAATTTTGACGTCAATGGTAAAATTAACTATGATGTCGTACTATAATTTTGGTCAATCAGAATAAATATGAAATATCCACGGGCTTTTGGAACAGGACATAATTTACTGGTGGACCAATCCATGGATATTCCATGAATAGTCCATCACATGCTGAACCCTATTGGACATATAGAATTTTTTTAGAATGTGTTAGAAATCAAGATGTTGCTCGATTATTTGATAAATTAAAACTAATTGAAGGATTTTATGCAATTATGCTGGAAATTTATTGTGCGAAATGCGTATTTTAAATTCTTGCCAATCAGATTTTGCCAACTCCGGGCTTTTTTGACTTAAATGATTATCTTGACTTATTTTTTTTTAGCAAATCAGGTAGTTCTATAAACTGTAGAATGATAAACTTAATAACCACGTTGTCACGTATACGGTGGAAAGTTCAAATTATTCGATGCAATACTGTTTATACCATTGTTTTAATACTGGATACAAAACGTTATTTTCGCACTAGTGAGCGAAACTCGGTTAAATTTTTTTAGTCAACATATGAAATAAAGATTCCAAGCTAAAGATTTTTTTTTTTGACCTTAGGAACCATGCTAACTGTTTTAAATTACCTGAAACGGAAGAATATAAAATCTTTGGTTACAAATTACAATAACTGATAATTGATGTGAAAAAATTATACTGTATGTATAAAGTTTTGGTTATATTTAATCGTACAAAATATTTATGATTTTTTTTTTTTTGCAAGATAGAAAAAGAATAGATCAACTGAACAATTAATATTCAAAATAATAAAGATTAAAATTTATTTATAAAACCACCATTGGTTTTATTTTTTACATTTATTTTTTATTCATTTTATGAAAAAAATGAAAAAATATAAGTAGAGTTATCTATTTTTTTTAAGTAAACGTCATACTTTTAAATGTTATTAACTTTTTTAGTGCTTTTGCAGAAATATTATTGTTTTTGCATATTTTTTCTTTTTTTTTTGAAGTATTCGTTTGTATTTTCTGCTTGCAATCCACCTTACAATCCACCTGAATTATGTGTAAATAATATATGCTCTTGTAATCCGAATACTGTTTGTAAGTATCCTCAGCCTCCAAATGGTCTCCCGCAAGGACAATATTGTGGTGGCGCTCCTATTATGATAGGTAATTTTAAAAAATTTCAAAAATTATTTTGTAACAATAATATTAGTATTGTGATACCGGATATCATAACTACCCCAAGAGCACCACCAAAAATTTTCGGTTACACAACATTTGTACTACATTCCAGCCAATAGTATTTTACG